CATTCCCACCTTGCAAGCCAAATCTCCTATCCAAACTACCTAACACACCAGAACCTTTAGAACCAAATACCTCTCGCACTTCTCCCCCTCCCACCCCATCTCGGCCGGTGTTCCACAAGGCTGGTCTCTCGCCACTCTCTTCTCAATGTACTAAACGACCTTCCCTCTTGCCACAGCATTAGACAATTTCTTTACGCAGGGTGACCCCTAGCCCTTCTCTCCCCTTACCGACCTCTCAACACTCCATCAACACACCTTCAAACTAGCCGCCCACTCTTTATGCCTCGCAATGGTTCCAGGAAAACTCTATCAAAATTAATCCTATCAAATTGCCAGAGCAATATCTTCCACTTGGCGAAAACATCCCACACCCCCTTCCCAAGCCATCACCACAAAAAGCCAACTCCTATCCCATGTCCTCGCAAATTAAATACCTCGCATCACCTTCAACTCCAAACTAAACCTGACCCCCCACCTACACACCAAAATGTTCCAGCAAACGAAAAAATCAACTTCATCCAACCCAATCCTCCGCCATACATCCCCTATCTGTCAACAAGAAATCTTCGATATTTACACCCACATCAGATCCATCATCACATACGCCCTCTCCCAACCTGCCACAAATTCCACACTCCCCTATACAAAAACGTAAAAATGCTTGAAAACCGCATCATACGCCTTATCTTTCACCCTCTTCCCGGCAAAATTACAACACGCATTTTCGACCACAATACAAACCATCCCTCCCCGCCCCCAATATGATTTTTAACACATCCGAGACACGTGCAGCAGTTTATAAATAATCCCATCTTCACCAGCCTCATTCAACCTCACCAAACAAATTCTCAACTCCCCTCCGTGTCCCACCCTCCGCGTCATTCCAGGAAAAAGTACCCCCTAGATATTCTACAACTTCCCCCTCCACCCACCTAAAAACATCCGACAAAATACCCAAGAAACACCAACCAAAAACCCTCAACAAAATAACCCTTCAACCCCCCCTCCCCTCAAAATCCCCCAAAAATGTCTAACATCCTTCAAACCCACCCCTCCCTAAAAATATTAAACCCTAAACGAAATAACCCGTCAAACACCAAAAACATCCTAGTCCCACCCCCAGCCCTTCTGGGAGGGGAGGCAGCTGCCAAACCAAACAATTTGAAGATATAAACACACGGCCAGTAGAGGACACTGATCCAGGCCCGTCCTTATCACAAACTTACTCACAGAGAGAGAGAGAGAGAGCCGCAAACCAGCGCGAGCAACGAGGAGTGTTGGTGAGTGATGACGCTGCCTGCGAGTGTAAGTTCTTCTCTTCTCGCTTCTGGATCGCGACCACGCCAACATCATTGGACATCTCTTCGGTTCTGAACGACCTGGCAAGTCTCCGGCATATCTTCTGGAAATTTTTGTGACTACGCTTGTTTATGGTATTTTCTGTATGATGTGAAAACCTGAATAAAAACTGTTTCACGATTTTTTTGTTGGTTCATTCCGTGTGTGAAGTCTTCTCAACGGCATCTTTACGGTTTTTGACACATGGAGTGGGAATAATGTGTTCTGCTTTGTCCCTAAAAAAAGTGGTTTTTGTTGACATGTAATTTAGTCTTTAGCAGATGTATACCATTGGTAAACAAATCTGAGATAGTGGATAAATTCTCCAGATACTCCTGGCCAAGAGTGGTATTCCTTTGTTTGTGATGAACCAATAGCTTCAAATCAAAGTGTAATGGATAGCCAAGAACTGAAAGACAATAGATGATTCTATAAATGATCATGGTATCTAGATACAATTTAAATTTCATTTTAGTTTTTAGTAATACGAAAAGGCGAAAACTACATTAGCAACAGGAATTATTGTAGTAATTTTATCTGATGGTTCAGATAAAACTTATGTCCACAAATTGCTATAAAATAGTTAATCCCAAAGATAATGATAATACTCATATTTCATGCAAAAGTAAACATGTCCGCAGGTGCTTTGAAAAAAAAATTCCAAATTTCCAAGCAAAACCAAACACGTCCAACTTTTAACCTGAGTCATAATTATAGATACAATATTTGATATCAACAAACGTAGACTATTGCAACAAAACATGTTAATAGTATAGCATGATACCTAAATTCGAAAGGTGGTAATTTCTTAACAATCCTTTCTTGCTGTTTTTGAAAAATCGATTTGATAGGCATGTTATTGGTATGAAAGCTTCTCGAAAGTTTATTAAAGAAATAAATGCACAAGTTCTTACTCAAGTTTCCTTTATAACGAAGTTTTCACTTAGAATTTTTAAGTGTGTGGGTGTGTACGCCCGTATCAAAGCGTATCGTCTCACTGAAGAACAGAGATGGAAAAGAGTTTTGAACAAAGTGGGAGCGTAAGTGCTTATGTAAGTGACACTTTTTTGTCTCATTTCACATAACACTGAAAATAATTTTAACTTGTGGGTACCTATATGAATAAGTAGTTTGCCTTTTTCACCGGAGCTCTTGTCACAGAGAAAACACTAAAAATATTTGTCACCAGTGAGTGTACGTATGAATAGGTAATTCATTTTTCCTGAATCACTTTTCACAGATAGTCTACCAGACTAAACACTGCAAAGGCTTCTCAGCAGTGGACGTGAATATCCTTATTGCGTTGCCGGTATTCCCTTGGCCTTTATTTCCCCTCTGTTGCCTTTATCTCTGAAGTTCATTGCACCAGCAAGGTTATCAACGAGTATGGGTACGAATGTGCCTATCTAAGATTTCTTTTTCTCTGAAGGTCTTTTCACATATAAAACACTGGAACGGATTTTCACCAGTATGGTTGCGTATGTGCTTATCTAATGTTCTTTTGACACTGAAGTTCTTTCCACATAGAGAACACTGGAAAGTGTTTTCCTTAGAGTGGGTGCGCAGGTGTATAGCCAAGTGTCCTTTTTGACTGAAGCCATTTTTACATAGTGTACACCGGAAATGTTTTTCGCCGGTGTGAGTGCGCATGTGCATATCTAAACATCCTTTCTGACTGAAGTTCCTTTCACAGGCAGAACACTGAAAAGGTTTATCCCCAGTGTGGGTGCGTATGTGCCTATATAAGTGTCCTTTCTGACTAAAGCTATTTTCACAGATAGAACACATGAAAGGTCTTTCACCAGTGTGAGTGCCTAGGTGGTTTTTCATGTTTCCTTTTTGAGTAAAGCTGCTTTCACAGATAGAACACTGGAAAGGTTTTTCACCAGTGTGGGTGCGAAAGTGCTGATTTAAGTTTTCTTTTCCTCTGAAGCATTTTTCACAGTTAGAACACTGGAAAGGTTTTTCACCATTATGGGTGCGCATGTGATTTTTTAATTTTCCTTTTTCTCGGAAGCAATTTCCACAGATAGAACACTGAAAAGGTTTTTCACCAGTGTGGGTGAGTATGTGTCTATTTAAGCTTTCTTTGTGACTGAAGCTCATTTCGCAGATAGCACACTGGAAAGGCTTCTCACCAGTGTGGGCGCGCATGTGCTTTTCTAATGTTCCTCTTTCTCTGAAGCTCTTTTCACAGATAGCACAAAGGAAAGGTTTTTCACCAGTGTGGATAAGTGTGTGTCTATTTAAACTTCCATTGTAACTGAATCTCTTTTCACAGATAGTACACTGGTAAGGTTTCTCACCAGTGTGAGTTCGCATGTGCTTTACTACTTTTCCTTTTAGATTGAAGCTCTTTTCACAGATAGAACACTGGAAAGGCTTTTCATCAGTGTGGGTACTCATGTGCCTATCTAAACTTCCTTTCTGACTGAATCTCCTTTGACAGATAGAACACTGAAAAGGTTTTTCCCCAGTGTGGACCCGCATGTGCATTTCTAAGTGCCTTTTCCCACTGAAACCCTTTTCACAGATAGAACACTGAATTTTTTTCCCACTGGGGTGGATTCCCATGTGACTATGCAATTCTCCGCCTGTGAACAAAAAACATTAAAATTAGCGTGTTAATGTATGTGAATTTCCCAGAAATCCAAACCTTAGTCGAAGCCATGGGAGAGTGACATCTGGAGGTAGGCACTTGGATATCGAAACTTTGGTAGCACTCAATGTTTCAATAGATCTGTACTTTAAATGTTTTGTAAATGTAATTTAATTTGGAGAAATAGTGATTTTTAAGAAAATATCTTATTTATACTACCTCACTATTGATGTCATTCAACAGAATTAAAAGCACTTGTACTGAATGGACAGAGTGTATGGTGTAATATCTACGCTAACACGGAAAATTCCAAATTTTTAATTATTTTAATATCATATGTTTAAAAATTGCTGCTACGAAACGGCCAAGTACCCTGCAGATATTGCATTAGAAAAAGATTGGTCAAAAAATTTAACTTCTTTTACACATAGATACAGATGAAAACGGAAAATATGACGCATATAATTGTTAACGCGTCATTGTTAGCAAGGAATATTTTCAGCATTTTATTTCCTAAATAGTACTATACACGCTAGCTGAAAAAAGCTATTTTTCTGATTGAATGTTAAGTGTTAATAGAAACTTTGCTGCATTGCTATTGTAATAAACTGCGCTCCTTTCGGTAATGTATTTTAAAGCATTAAACATCCCCTTTTGTAACCAAATATTTTATATTTTGCCTGCCCATGTCGTAAGATTCTTTAGGCACGTTGTACGGAAGCTTCACTGTCGTCTGAAGAAAGAAAGACACGGGACGTCCATGTTTAATAAAATGAAATGCTGACAACGCGTCCCCTCGTTTGAACCTCGGCTGAAAAGGGTCGTTAGGAGAGCGCATTTCAAGACTTCGAAAACGTCAAACATCGAAGCAAGTTCAACGAGGGCTCTTAAGGACTTCTTCCCCGGGGACTTCCTGGGAGTACACGAGGCATGTAAATCGCGCAGGTAAAAAAGTATCGTTTCACAAGGATCATACTTTAAGAATTTCAAGTTGATCCTATTAATACATTTCTTTTTGAAAAATGTGACCATTACTTTTCGGAAATTCCTTGTATATTTCCCACAAAATATACTGTTACCTAAGTGCCCTGACTCATGTTATTAAATCGTAAAATTTACCCTTTATTCCAAACCGTATTACCAATTTACTTTTCTTTTCAATCATTACCTCTTAGTTTAACAAATCACTGATTCAATTATATGAAATGTCATTTGTGACCTCTGGATGAGTCATTTGATATTTTCTTCCCACGATAGTAGTAAACTAGATTAAAGTTCATAACTTGTACAAGTCGGTTTATGATATGTAAAATCTTATTTCCACTCACCAGGGGATGAAGAAATTTCGGTTTTTATTGTTCCCCAAGAAGCACTTTCACAGCGTGCCGCAAGAAGATCCTACAACATGACATCAGAAAATTATATGACAGTGCACTTAGTTAAATAAAAGGAAAGGTTGGAAGCTTTAAAACCTTGGTGCTATATGCTCAATTTGATTAACTTATACCTACAAAACCACTCTCAACTAGTTAACAAACAGCTCAATCGTTGAGAAGTAGATAACACAAGCCAATAGCAAATTTTACTTTCTCAGTTGATCTGTCGGATGGAGTTATGTGATGTTATGTGGAAAATGGATGACGAGATATTGAAATGTATTCAGGGGCCTTGATATCAAAATTATTGGAAAATCGGTTTGAAAATTCGAAACAAACGTATCTGTTATTAGCAGTTGTTTTATTATTTCCTGCATTTTAAACTATTTGGTCCTTCCTTACATACACCCATTCTCATCTGGTAAACCTAGAATCGCCTTCCAGAAAGGGTGAGGTCGGCAGCTCAAATAGACATCTAAAATAAGAAACATTCCCTTGAAACGGTGTTGATTAGTTTTCTTTTGTAACCAAATTATTTGTTGATAAACATATTATACACAAAAATGATTTTGAGGCTATGAAAATGGACTTTTCTCTCGCAACGAAAAAGAAAGTCAATAAGTCTAAACAAAAATGTGTCGAGAAACTGACTGCGTAGCGGCGAGAAAGGGGGTAGAGCGCAAGATAGACAAAACTGCTCACGGGAATAGAAATTTATGCTGAAAGTCGTAATTGAAATATAAAAAAGAAACCAGTTTTTGCCGGATTTAAATCAATTTACCCAAAGCACTTCGTGACTACTAAAAAAAACGCGTTTCTAGGTTATTATATAAGATTAATTTTTTAAAACAACTTGACGCCTGTGAATATTGACTTCAATTATCTTTCCGACTTTCTGTAGATGGTAAAGATGTTTCGATAATTTTTTCAGGCGTATATATTCGATTTGGATCCTTACAATCAACAAAAAAGGGAAAAATAGAAAACAAACTTTATTCATTGTTTTAACAATATCTCTTCTTGCAGATCATAAAAAGAGCTAAATACAAATTACAGCCTTGTACATTTTCTATTTTCCTTAAATTTCAACTTTTTATCTCATAATTTGTACCAAAAAGCCCAATATAAATAAAACAGTAATTAAATAGTTTCTCATTTATTTTCTTAAAATTAGATTTTGTTTCTTTAATTTGCAGGTGTTTTAGAGTTAACTTGATTTTCGAAATGTTAAGAGTTTAAATTTTTTCCGACCTCTTCAACTACAAAATTGAAGATATTTTTCCTTCAAATGGAATTTGTTGTCGATACTTAGTTCTTTCATTTGGGTATTGTACACATTTTTGTAAATTATAGTATTTTCGCCAAATATTGCAAATTTCAAAAATTACAAAAACCTGATTTTCACAAAAACGGCTTAAATTTTCATCTTTATACTTAGTACTAAATGTACTCTAAAAGATGTCATAAACGCCATATTGTTCTATTCTTTTGTTTTCTCAAGTATTTGCAAACAAATTTTAAAAAAATATTAAACTTTTAATTGTGAAATAATTGACATTTGTACACAAAAGTTAGTCAATGTTCAGCTGATTTGAGTGTCCCGCTATGCAATTCTAGCCATTATATGTCTCCATCGACATTCCTAGAAATGAATGCACTAAACAACAAGGCATAAATGCCTTTTCAATGTATTCTTTGGATTCTTCAAAATAACACATGTGGATATGTTTTTAATATCACTAGAGGGATTATATTTTCACTGCAGCCTTTTTTTTAGTACATATTGCATTTGTGAGAATATACCCTTCAATTGATTTATGAAAAATCTCAAAACCTGAAACTTTCTCTAAAAATTAACTCATTATTGCACATTTTTAGGAACATTCAACCCACAAATTCTGTAGGCTGCAATCTTTTCAATAAAAATTTGCTTATAGAACCATGTTTTACTTTTGTGCAATATTGTTGAAGTCATATTTCAATTCTACTATTATAGATCTAAAAATTGTGTGAAATAACAGCAATTTTAAAACAAAATTTTGGTTTAACATTTTAATCACATCAGTCAACAACCAACCCTCTGTTTTATTGTATTGTCCAAAGAATGCTTGTAAAAATCATGCATGTCTTATTTTCATAATTATGAGCAGTTACAAAATAATTGTAAAAGGTGCAACAGTTACCAAATATCAGAGATGTAGTTTAGAATTAGTTTTTCAAAAAGATTAGATAAATTCAAGAGAGTTGTGTGATGTAATAAGCAGTGTGATAAATTCAAGAGAGTAATGTTCAAGAAAGTAGTGTGATGTTACCTAAAAGGGTGTTCTTTTTCCTGTTTACAAATGGGAAGGATTACTCCAGTTTTTCAAGTATTGAGTCTGTCTGTGGAATTCCCAATGCAAATGTATGCCAAATACCCATGCATTATTTTGCATCTACCAATTTTCATTACTTCAAAAATTATTAACAACATATCTCAGAAGTATCATCTATTTATGATGAGCTCTAACTAGTCACCTCCCAATGCTTTCTTTAATTCAAACATCAAACTAAATGTACATGCCAGTCGTACCTTTGTTTCTTCAATAAAGGCTTCTTTTAGCTTCTCTATTGGCTCAATAAACATGGCTTCTGGCGGCTCCATCTCGCCCTACATAGAAGAATTCAAATATGTCACAACAATCAAACTAATGTTGCTATAACAGCACACAGTACTTCTTTTTATAATTGACATTGACTACAAAATATTGGAACCTTGCACATCCCCCCTAATACTAACATTTTCCCCACTGTTTGAATAGTATAACATTCCACGATTTTATTGCATAACACTTCTTCTTCCTTTTACACATAAGAGACTGCTCAACTATAATCCACCTATCTTATTAGCTTTGAATGACACTATATCATTCTATACTATCACATTAATTACATAACTTGCAATGCAAGATTGAGGATAACACAAAAAATTGTTTGATCAAGTTTAAATTTTAACAACATATTTCTGTTTCATTCAATTAAAAGTGTGTTGCTCTCTCAGAATTTTAATATGAATTTTTCCCCTTTGAATTATAAAAATATTTGCATGTTCCAAAGTGTTACTTAAAATTTAAAAACATAAATAATTATAAAATATAATATAAAAATTATTTCACTCTTAAGACAGACAAATGACTGTACTCACATCATCTTTATTATTTTCTTCTTTTATTGAATGATCTAAAGCACCAGGTTCACATTTTGCCTAAAAGAAAAAAAAATTCTAATTAAACGTTTCTTTCAATAAAAAGAAAAAGTTCTTGCAATAATAAACATAACATAAAACATATTTCATAGCTGAATTCATGACCTCATTTTTTCCACTTTCCATCAGAAATGTGTCAAAAATAGGTTTTTTTCAAGAATTATTTAGATGCAAGAAAAAGTACCATCGACATGTTTCCATGATCATTTAACAAACTTGTATTACACAATTTTTATGTAACCTGTCAGTGCCCTCTAATACGCTGATGATTTTAATCAGAAGGTTCATACTTCTGAATTGGAATTTTTCCTGCATAACTTCATTTAATTGTAGATCTTTAAATGATGTCAAACATCTGTTAAAAATTGAGAATTTGTGCGATTTAATGAGCAAATTGAGAAATTTAATGAAACAAAGCAGATTAGTGCCTTTCTAACTCATTTTAACATAGCAAACACAAATATCTTGAGATTGTTCATTATCATATTAATTAAATGGGGTAGAAGATATAATTGGTGTGCAAGAAACATTAGTTATCAAACCTATAAATAATCCTAGGCATTACTAAGGAATGGCCTCTAGAGCCTACAACTTAAAATTGGATTTTATCAATGTCTTTGATGATTTTGAAAAAGTAATGAATTCATACGATTAATAACATACATGTGCAGTTGCAAAACAACATGAGTGTGGGCCCGTCTGCAAAACTTATATCAGAGCTCCTTTTATAAAAGTGAATAGCAAACACATGAAGAGTTAGTATCTAAAAAAATAAAAATATCCCCTCTTTTATCTGGAAAGAGAAAAAAAATACTCTTCTGCCAAAGACAATAAAAAGGAAAATCAATATTCCTACATTGTATTTTATGACAAAACCTATTACTACATTTTTGTCACATCAAGGCTGTTGTATCTTTAAAACATAGTATTACTGTACTACAAAACATTAGGGCTTCAAACACCACACTGTTTTCCAATAAGTGGTTAGAATGTTCGGTTTTCATATGAATAGTCCACTGATTTTTTTTATTCACACCCAAAGACTGCAATAACTCAAATTCCAAACCAGACATGATACATTTTATCATACACCACAAAATGAATAGAATCAATGACTTCGAGCTTTCTAAAAAACGTTGATAGCCTCGAGGAACCCCTCCCCTTGAGAATGCTAGGGTTACTGTTAAACATTATTAGTTTCCAAGAAACAACACAACCAGATAACCCATTCATTTCATCATGCTACAACTGTACAAGATTTAAATATTTTTGAGCTATTTTGGGGTTTTCTTAACTTAAAATTAAAACTATCTTAAATATTTAAAAATAAGCTCACAAAAAAATTAACATTATAGAGTAGTAAATATGTTCCTCTAAATTTTGTATTCTTGAACATGGTTATAATTTCAAAATGTAAAAAAATGTCCAATAATTTTAAGTAATAATGACTCTCAAATTACATACCTGTTTCAGATTGATTTAAAAAATCTGACATTAGAAAATTATTTTGAAATAAAAAAGGGATTTAAATACAAACCATATTAACACATCAACCTTTACTTCAATAGCAAAATACGACAAAACATAAGAAGGAAAAGGTTTTTTCACTCAGGAATCCCTTACATCAGTTTATTAAGCAGCTGTACATTAGTCACTAGTGAAAGAAATCAAAACAAAGAACTTTCTTTGTCTTTGTATTAAGTTTGGAGGTTATACTATTCCTTAATTGAAATGTGGTTAGAATCAACTTTTATTCTACACTTGCATTATTTTGTCCTTAAGTGTACAAATATTTTTCGCTTGTGTTTACATACAAAAGATGTCTTAGTGAATTACAATATAAAATAAGGCATAAATTCAATTCAATTTTATATAAAGATGGATCGTGTGTCGTGGAACACTGTCAAATTAGAAGCTTTTAAGCTAGAATGTTGTAAATAAGTGACGAGTTATATATACTTGTTCTGTTCTGCAAATCATTAGCACATTTTATTTCTGGAGGTAGTGTACATGAAACCCAAGACATTTACAATATTTTCTGGAAACAGGCTAACGTTATTTGTTTACATTTTTTGCTTCAATAGAAGAAAGTGCATGTGCAATTAAGATATAGTTATGTTTTTCATTCAAATCTCTCTCATTTTGAAAAGAGCAAAATTCATTATATTTAAAACTCTAAGGGTTTTAATTTAAAAAGAAATTTAAGCATTACACTCAACTCACTTTTAAGAATTTTGCTTTAAATGCTGAGTTGTCAGCCCACATTTTTTATTGTTTATTATTATTAATCTGATGTATAGAATAAATATTCAGTTTTAATAAAAATCTTTAATTAATGGAATGAACTCTTGTCTGATCTAGATTGTCCTTCGTTGTTAGTTTGTGAAAGTTGCGATGTAAATCTTTTTTGGAGGGTATATTATTTTATAAGTTGTACAAGGGTATATTTATATAGTGTTCTTGTCATGATGTTTCGCCAGCCCTGAGGATGGAATAAAATATTACAAAACGTCGGGAACTAATGTTTTATAATTGATATCTCACTTCACCAAATCCTAAAAAACTACATTTCCTAAAGGTCTTCTAAACGCATTCAATGTTTCATGACAGCAAAAAAAATTACAATGATAAGAGGTGCACATTCTTAATTTAAGGCAAATAGCACAATTTCCTGCTCATACATGTCAAGTTCTCCGTAAATATGAAACATTTCAATTACATTCTCAAAAAGACATTTAACTCTGTGCTCTCGGGGAATAGCAAATGTACGGTTCCAAAATATGTTAACATTTTTTTAGTCATTAACAGTAAGTACTAAACAACATGTAACAATTTTTTGAATGTGGTTTCCTTTCTTACTAAAATGCATATGTTCTTTTTGGTTTTGATGAATATACATCCCACACACAACTTACTTATAGTTTATAACTATAAAAATAACTCACAATGGAATTCCAGCAATAGTCTTCTCTCTTGTCCATGGGCTCTTCTTTCACCTAAAGATAAAAGAAAGATCATAAGTTCACCATGATCATAATGAAAATCCTCCACATTGGTAAATAGGATTTTTCAGGAGGCACAAAAACTTAATTTTCAGTAATAAAATCTCGCACACTGATTTTTTGCTGTACTTACATTTCAAATCCAAAAAATACATCAATAATATGCTAAAAAAACAAGAATTATGTATTACAAAATGAATAGTTTTGATAACCAAGGATGTGCAGAGATTACCTTTTTCACGTGGGTGAATGAAATTATTATTAAATGTTTGCATATTCATACAAATTCACTGTTAAATATGAAATATATTATTTTTTAACTGATTCAGATTTTTAATGACTTAATATAAATGATTTTGAAATATTCCTTACAAATTACTTAACAATGTTCTCTAACTGGGTGATAGATGTTTACAAACCTGTCTGGTGTTATTGACGTGGACAACTTAACCCAGTAGTTTTTAATTTTTTTATATGCCAATGTATTATTTCACTGTCAATTGCCTCTTTTGAATACTTAAATGGAAACATACAAACTTCACTTGGACCCTTTTGCCCAACACCCAAATAATAAATTAATTTTTCTCTGTTTTTCCTCATCTCATAAATATAAAATAGTTGCTAAAATAAAAATATTTTTGAATCGAAATTGCACCACCATTATAGTATTATTCTTGTGAATTACAAAGAGAAAAATAGTTTGTAACTGTAGAAAAAAAGTCTTATCTATTTTAAAGATCCAATAATTCTGATCCTGCCATTCTACCACGCGCAATGAGATAGAGATATTTTTTCTGATAATTCGCACTTGCAAGTGTCAATCTGAATCTAGCTGAACTTTAGATCAAAGATTTTATTGAATGCCTTCAATAACATTTATTGTTAATATTTTATAATTGTATTCTCTAACAAATAAGTTGTCATTTTTGTAGTTGTGGATAGTCTACACCAGGAAATGCAATAGATAACTTTTCTATCATAACTAATATCATTTGAATTTGATCTACCTTTACAGTTTTTCGCAATACAATCGTTTTGAGGGGGGGGGATGTAGAGGGTTTTCAAATTCCTGATTCAAGAACACTACACTGATCGTGTGATTTAATTCAATTGAGTAGCACTTAAAATATACATAACAGATAACTTCCACTTTAAGAATACTTTTTAAAAATTCTCGTGGCCCTATATATCAAATAACCAAAAAGTATTTACCTCTTCTATTTTAACGATACTTTCCGACAAAAAATCGATATCTCCCATGGCTATCAGTACAGTTTGCTCATTGTTGCTCATCTTCACACTATCGACACAAATCAATACTATAGTATAATTTATTTAGTCGTTAACGTGACTTTAATCCGACCAAAAACTGTTACAATTTCATCCATTCGAGAACTTATATGTTGCTAAAAAAATACGTCACAATGGGGACGTTTAAGCTTCCGGTTGGATGAAACCGTGAACACATGATTTATGTCACGTGCATTGTTAAATTATAGTTTAATAAACACTACTAGCAAGGAGGGAAACGTGGGGAAACTCGTGTAGCACCATCTACAATAAGATACAAGAGTTAAATCGACAACACTGCACTCTGTGGCCTAAATGGGTACTTCTTGAGCGTTGAAGCTTCTGGCTCAGGAGTACGGTACTCAATCTACCATTGTATCCATCCAATGTAGATACTGTAAACTGCTGTTAACTTACTAATTCACCCAATATTCATCATAGAGGAGAGATACAAGTTGTATCTCTCCTCTATGATATTCATAGTAAAAGTAGATTGACACAATATGCAAATATTTAATACCTCGGATCCGATTCCAGGGGTTTCCGTTATTCACACATTTCTATGAATTTAAATATGGAATCAAACAGCATTCATCATAATTTACTTGTAAGGAAAATGCTGTCTATTAGCATATTTGCACTTTGTGATAATTCCTGTCAAATAGTTTAGAAAATGATCATTTAATCAGAAATAAAACTTACCTAAGTATCAAAAAACAAATGCATTTGGAATTTGTGCGGATATCATAGCACCAACATATTTTTTAACATTTTGTTAAGCCTGATAAGATATGGTTTTTAAATTTGTAATTATTGAATTATGTACGCCTACAAAACTCATTAATTTGGCACCGCCATTAAAAATTATTACAAATTTCCACGAATTCCTTCTACAAGATTGTAGATAGGGGAAGAGATTCTAATATTATATTTATTTATCCACTCACACACAGCAACAAGTCATTTGGACGGACATTACGGTTCTTTATCGTCATCCAGATCTGCAGCTTAGATTGGAAAATATGCATATCCTAATATGAATGCAATTTGTTAGTTTAAAACACATGTTATTTTTTCTAATTCATCACATTTTCATTGTGATCATACAATTGAATGGGTAATAAACAGGCAAGATTTATTGTCTTATATTCGGTAAAATTGCAAGTAAGTTCGCTTTTGTGGGAAGTTAGTGACAATTTTTGAATAAAAGAAACTTTTATTAAGCTTAGAATACTACAATTGTTTTGTTTATTTATGAATCTGTGGTATTTCTCAAAATTGTCTTACTGAAGGGTATTTTCATGTAATTTAGTTCTTTTCTTCTCTGACTTATTCAGCTGACAGGATTCTATACTTCAGGTTGCAGAACCGGAACCCCTTTGGCACGTGTAATGAAAACATATTTGAAAAATCTAATGCTGAAACAATACATCCAAATTTCTTCAGGTCTTGTAAATTACGGATGTTATACTTTTGCGCATTACTTTTATAAATCAATGGCTTGTAAAGCTCTTAAGCTGTCTGAAACGTACGAAATAACACCATACTAGAAAATGCTCAGAAATTTAGTTACGCAGAAATGCCGCAACGCTAAAATAAAATATTACCACACCACCT